GTGTGTGTGTGTGTGTGTGAGAGAGAGAGAGAGAGAGAGAGAGAGAGAATTCTAATGTGCTATTAATTGTATTTGCTTGCTTGCATTTTTAGTAGTGAGAACTGAGTTTAGTGTCTTGCACACCTCAGACATGTTCAATCACTGAGCTATATTCCCAGCTCTCTTTTGGATTTCTGATTTCATGAGTTTCTTACAAATTGTTTTATAAAATTTTATAAAAACATCTTATAAAATTATAAAGAAATTCTTATTTCTTATTTTAATTTCTTAAGGCAGCATCACACTAAATTGCCCAGGCTATTCTTGAACTCACTCTGTAGTTCAGATAGGTCTTGAAATCATCATCCTTCTGTCTCAAGCTTCTGGTACGTGGTTTACGTGTCTGTCTTATCAAGAGGAGTGATTGTATAGATAATGAACCTGAGAGACTTGAGGTTGGTTTTTTGTTGTTACTGTAACAAAATAACAGAAGTAACTAACTTTACAATGGAAGCATTTATTTGGGGAAATCACAGTTTTGTAGGCATTAGTCCTTGGTTGATTGACCCTGTTTTGGGGTCTGTAGTGAGTTACATCATGGTGGCAGTGTATGGAAGAATCTGTTCATCTCATGGTGACAGGGTAATAGAAGAGGAAGGGGTGGACTTCTATAATCCCTTTCAAAGACAAACCTCCAGTGATCTAACTTCCTCATACAAGGCTCCACCCTTGAAAAGTCCCAAAATGTCCTAATAGTACCACAGGCTGGGCAATGAGCTTTCTACCAGGGCCTCTGGGTGGACATTTCAAGTCCAAACTATAACAAGTTTTCTCCATTCACTGCCAGTCTCTTAGAATGTAAGAGTTGTCTTTATAATACTGGATTACCATATTTTCTGTTCTTGGCAGGCAACAGGAATACATGTGGTTCACACACACACACACACACACACATGCACGCACGCACGCATGCACGCACGCACGCACGCACGCACACGCGCACACAGACAAGAATTTCATACATATAAAATAAAATAAATAAATCTTAAAGAATTTAAAGAAACAAAACAAAAAAGTTTGCAATGTTAGATTGGAGACACAGAGAGCTGGAGAGGTGTCTCAGAAGAGCATTGACTGCTCTTCCAGAGGTCCTGAGTTCAATTCCCAGCAGCTCACAACAATCTATAATAAGATCTGGTACCCTCTTCAAACATACAGATGTAACACTGTATACATAACAAATAAATAAATCTTTTAAAATCTTTAAAAAGGCAACATGGCAGATAATCCCAGCACTCAGGGGCTAGGAGGGAAGAC